GCGTCGCAGCACGTTCTTTGAAGTTTGTAGATCCCCAACTCGAACCTTCCCGTCCTTTCCTGGGATTGCGGAAACGGCACGAGCTAGGATTCAATGTTGTGGTGGTGTGTTATCCTCATGTACGATGACATGTTGGCCCGTTTGGATGATTGCTTTTTTAGTGTTCCATTTTCTCCGACGCTGTAGGGTGTGTATGTAATTCCGCTGCCACATACCCAAAACTGCTGCTTGAGAAACGGTTCCCCCTGCAATCGATTCAAGTAGCTTAGCTGAGTGGTAGACTGTGGTTTGAAGATGCGCTCGTCTGAAGCAGCCAAAAGTGAAGAGCCAACCAGAAAATGAGCTGGCGATCTGATTGAGGGGCAATTGAGAATTGCCACTATTTCTGAAGACGTTGCCTCCAGCTTTTCGTACGTGAGATTGGCCTCCGATATGTTCTTCAGTAAAAGGGTTTGGGCTGACTTCACAGCGGCCTCCCAGAGCCCCCCGAAATGTGGGGCTAGAGGCGGAATGAAGAATGAAGCACTGATGGAGCGATGAAATGTTGCTTAAATTAAAGTCCCCCATAATTTTGTAACTGCCGAGTTAGAACTCTGCCGTTGACAATCCATAGCATTTCTCAAGAGAGAGAAATGAGTATTTATTAATTTGCATGTAGATTTTTTGTATGCTAATCGCCCGCCTAGCCTTAACACATTGACACTGACATTATCTAGTTCCATCAAGCAAGACCCTGTAACTGAGGCTTTAAACTTTAACAAACAAAAGTTCTAATATCAACATTTGTGACGAAAAATTGTTACACTTGTCATTAAATACACTTTCCAAAATTTTCTCATTCGGCCCGCCCTAGCAAACTATTCCAGCCTTGGTCACGGGGATCGATCATGAATTGGCGATACATTTTAGTGATATCACTGGTGAGACGAACCGGTGTAGCCTAAAAGCAAAAACTGTGGTGGTAAGATCCGCAGAGTAAAAGACCGTTTAATGATTTGCCCGATGTTGATTTAGCTGGTCCATCGAAGACAACGCGGAGTTTGGTCGATAGGCTTTCAGGTCTACGCAATGATGCGGAATAAAAAAGTGTCGCTCGTTGGAATCGAATTATTAAAGAGTCGACATGTGCCCCAAAGCCTCGTACTCTTTCATAGAGTTTACTTAGCCTTCCTTTAATTCGGGACAGCGGTTAACTCTTCGCTGAAGCATCGAGAAAAGATTTTGAGCCATGTTGAATGAATTACCTAAACCTCTGTCGACTAAAATAAATGCGTTTTGTGTGAAATGGTCTTCAGACGCTTGACCTTCATGTGTAAATGTAGGAGGAGAGGTACAAACTCTTCTATTTTGCATAAACGATCCAAAATTGTGTCGGTGTCAGCGAGATTTTCGAAAAGTGTGCAATTTAAACACTGTTGGAGATGATGTGATATTTCCTTCTAATACCCAACCGAATTCTGTATTGATTCGGCTAGGCTTTCCAAACCCAATGCTTCCCAGTTTTTAATGCTTCGAAAAACCCTTCGGTACTAATGAGCATATGAACCTGGGTCGACTCGAAAAAGTGTGGGTCGGCTAGATTGCCATTAGTTGGTTGCTACCAATTCTGAATTTCAATTCCTGATTAACAAGGTTGGAGAACGCGCCTGTGAACCGTTTGTATTGAGAATAAGTCCCATCGAAACTGGGCAACTTGATATTAGGTAATCGGTTATAGTGCGTTGTGTTGCCGGTGGAGTTCAGAAAACTTGGATCGTCTAAAACGAGGCTGGCTTTACGCTTCTTATTCATGAGCTGTGTGATTGTTGATTTTGCATTAATGAAGATTTCTTCTACTTGCGCTCTCCCCGTGTCGATGCAGTGCAATTTCCTCGATGTTTGACTGAATCTGACATAATGTAGGAAAGTATTTTTCAACTATTGGCAAATTGCACTCCAGCACTGATAGTTCAACGGATGCCCCAAGAGAGAGAACACGTCTTTTGAGATTGTTGATATTGCGCTCTATCTCTCTATTTAACAAGGTTTGCGTGATTAACTTCTACTTGGAATGGTCCAGCTTCGTTAGGATTAAATGACTCAGCCTTATCCATTGTTCAATGCGTACTCGCAAGATCGAGAACTGACTAGTTTAATTGAAAAGTATGTTCGACCCCTAGCGGCGGCACCTGCAACTGAACTTCAGATAAAATGTGCAACAGCAAGAACCTCAGCAGTTTAGTAAAATAGCTACTTGGCGCAACAAATCTTGATATTTATACCCTTGCAGAGGGTATTATGATTTCAGTCAGAAGTTTGTAACGCAGTGAAGGAGACGTTTCCGACCCCATAAAGTATATATATTCTTGATCAGCATCACTAGACGAGTCGATCTAGCCATGTCCGTCTGTCCGTCCGTTTCTACGCAAACTAGTCTCTCAGTTTTCAAGCTATCGGGATAAAACTTTCCCAAAAGTCTTCTTTCTATTGCAGGTAGTATATAAGTCGGAACGAGCCGGATCGGACAACTATATCATATAGCTCTCATAGGAACAATCGGGAAAAAAATGTAAAAAAATTATATCTTGGGTGTTTTTGAACCTATAACATCCTACTTTTGGAAATGTCATTTTTTTATCTAATTCTGAATTTCGAATAAAATTTTTTCAAAATCGGACGACTATATCATATAGCTGCCATAGGAACGATCGGAAAATTAATGGGAATATAATAGGAAATAAATTATTGCTTCGTTGGTTTTTATTGTATTCTCTTCTACTCTAGGATATAACTCTTTCCAATATTTTCGAATTTCGATTTTAATTTTATCAAAATCGAACTACTATATCATATAGCTGCCATTGAAACGAACGCAAAATTAATGAGAAATAATAGGAAAATTAACATTTTTGCGATTTGTAAATTAATAGGAATTATCTGCAAGGGTATATAAGCTTTGGCTGGCCGAAGCTAGCTTCCTTTCTTGTTTTGTATGATATATATGGGTACAGGATATGGATATGTGGATGTGTACTTGCGATGTGTAAGTGTGTGGTAGCTGCGTGTCTCGAAGTGTGGTTATCTTGTGATCAGTGACCAGATATCGTTCTTACAAAAAAGAAATCGCTAAGTAAGCTTTCTCTGGACCCCGGCGGTCATATTAAGTACAAACATTTTTACTTTAATGAAGTTAACTTCAGATTTCAACTTTAGTCGATTCACAAACCAAAAGAACTGGGTGTTCCCCAAACTATAGTGTTCCAGCGATCGCTTTGCCAAGATGTAAACTACAAAATACATGTTTTCTTTTGAGTTACCTAAAACTATTACAAAACAAGAGAGAACTATAGAACTATAGAACTATAGATACCCGTTACTCAGTACTCAGTACTCAGTACTCAAGTGCGAGAAGTGCGATGGAGATATATAACTTTGATCGCGCATAACATTTTAACGAATGGTCCGATTTGAAAATTTTAATCGTTTAAGACGATTGTGGGCGTTAGAGGGAGCGTGGCCTTCGGCTGAAACATACTTGCGCTGCGTAGTGTAACGAACTGTTTTTAACTGTTTGATCGCTACGTAAACGCCGCGACTAGCTCAGAGATATTGTGTGTTCGTCCCACCAAATTTGTATTGCGTGACTGCCCGTGACCCAAGAAAATGCAGAGATATCCGATTGGGACAAATCGGAAAACTTTATTTAGTTTTTCTTTTCGCTGGAATTGGTTTCTTCGTCAGCTGGCTGTAGCGGCTTGTCGGGTCGGCGACGTGCCTTCCTCGGCTCAAGATTCCCTTCGTACGATTCTCTGCGGCGCTCCTCGACGGCGTCGCTGCTCTCGTATCTCTTCGTGCTACTGGTGGACTCCTGCGGCGTCGTTCTCCAACGGCGGCTCTCCAGTTCCACCCGGCTTGTAGGACTCAAAAGTCTGCACAACCTTCCTTTCGGGTCCGACCAGAATGATCCTGGGACCACCTGTGTCGTCGTATTCCCTGAGGTCGGTCTGGCTCTAGCCTGAGCAACAAATGGCCCGACAGGTCAAATCCTAGGATTCAGCCTTATCGTCAGTCCACCGTAACCCCGACGCCTGGCACAAACTCTTGATCCGCGCTTACCCTGCCGGTAGCTCGTCCTTCTCTAGCTCGTCCTTCTCTCGACTCTGCTCCTGTCCAGCACTCGTCTCCACTTCAATCTCTGCGTCCTGCAGATCTCACCGTTGCAGTCTCAGCCTTGGCCTAGCGTCTTGACTCTGGTATCTTGATCTGGGCGTTGAGCACTCGGTTACTCGGTACTCTCACGGTCACGCACTCGATTGAATCCTCGCACTTGAATCTTGATATTGGGTTGTCTCACTTGTACTTTCGCTCGCGTATCTTGGTTGTCTGTCTGTACTCCGGCTGCCAGCGTCGCGTCTTCCGACCGACACGTCTCCTGCCTCCTGGCTGCATGAACTGCGGCGCTTACTGCACTGACTGTCGCGCGAACTCCAACTGACTGCCCCGAGCTGCGCCTGCGCCGTCCCTTTTATAGGCCGCGGCGGGGTCCCGTAACTCCAAGAACATGCATGCTTTTATAGTCTCCGAGATCTTAGCGTTCATACGGACGGACAGACAGACAGACGGGCAGACGGACATGGCTAGTTCGACTCGGCTAGTGATCCTGATCAAGAATATATATACTTTTTAGGGTCGGAAACGCTTCCTTCTCCCTGTTACATACTTTTGCACGAATACAATATACCCTTTTACTCTACGAGTAACGAGAATAACTATCAAAAAAAATTTACATAAAGTTGAAAAACAATTTATTTTATTTATTTTCCCTTCTATATACCAATTTACAAAATTTGTTTTTTGTTTGTGAGATTGCACATGGTTTTGGGAAGTACGGTGAAATGTGACACGTATTTGTTCTCCTGAGGGATTATACACATATGTTTTACTTGGTTTTTAAATTAGTTAGAAACATAAAAAATAATGCAAACAAGTAATTTAAAAAGACTGTATTTTTCTAATTTCAGCATAAAAAGTTGCCAAAATTTGTTAATGGTTGTGGTTTCAATATCATCAGGAATCAAATGCGACAACTTCAATCACCTTTACCCCTTCATTGGAGCAGCAAAAATATACAAGAAACCTTTGATTTGCGTATATGGCTAAATTTATAAACATACAATTTAAATTTAATTAGCCTACGATTTATATTTTAATTTAGCTAATTTCTTTGTACACATTTTTCCCTCCCATCATTCACCGCCAGCGTAGAAGTTGCCTTTTCTCTTGAAAGAAAATGTCTGCAGGCAGACTCCCTAAGCAGACCCACATGAAACTCTTTTGAAGACTTTTCGGCGGCATTTACAAATGTAAAAACAGAACAAAATAATTGTAATGCCCAGCTCAACAACGAGACGATTAATTGATATAGAAACACAAAAGAATTCAACTCAATCTTTAATTCCATAAATGTATACTTCTTTAAATACTTATATACAAATTGATTTTACTACATACTCCTTTACACGCTATTTATATAAACAAAAAAACTTCGCTTCAATTCCAAATATTTAGTTTTTAAGCCAAAAGAGAAAAAGACAAAACATTTATTCGAATATATTTTTTTGAAAATTCGTACCCAACAAATCAAAGGAAGAAGAGTGGTAAACAAATGCAATATTTGTGTAAAGAATTATACAAAACCTAACAATACCTAGACTAGCCCACAGGAATAAAAATAAATCATAAAAGTAAAATTGGCTCGAAGGAAAAAAAAGACAAAACAAGACAACCATTAAAAACTTTGGTCGAAAAAACTTTTTTTTTAAGTAGCCCACCTTTTCTGATATATTTTGGGTCGCTGAGTCCAACAATTACAAATTAAAAATGTTTTAACTGCACGTTTCCACGTGGTATTTGCAATATACAGCAAAAATAGAGGTCGAATCACTCATTTAAGGACTCAACGATTTAGAATAACCCGAAAAGGTGAGTTTTTAAAAAAAAAGGCATTTTATTGATAAGATTTGGTTGACAGTATAAGCTTTTTTGATCGTGTTTTTCTTACACTAAAAAACAATAATATAAATATTTGTGTGTGCATGAATGCCTGTTATTTACATAGACATATAAAATATATATATTATACAACCTACATATACAAACTATATACAAGAAATCTCTATATATATCTCTATATATACACTTAAATCCAAGGCGTAGACCTGTTTCCCGCCTGAAATCAATAGCGAAAATTCAATTATGTTTTGCTGAGTGCAAGAAAGAAAGTTGAAATCAAATGATTTGCTGTATATGCATACGTTGCGCTCTCAATATTTTAAGTTAGTCTAAATACCAAAATTGCTTTTAAAGGCTTGGAAAAAAAATATTCAAATATAAATTTTAATTGTACACAGTATAAATAATAAAAACTGCTTATTTTGATTAATAAATTTCTGTATTTATATTTGTAGGTATATATTGTGCTGCTAAAACGCTTAGGCTTCTCAGAAATGCTTAAAAAATAAACCGCTGATTTCTCGTTATCATGTTAAGGCGATAAATAACATAATAGCATGAGATATGTCCACGAAATACTGATGATTATTTTCTCATAAATAGGCAAAAAAAGGAATTGTGATGGAGGTAGAACATAGCAGTAGATCATCAAATTCCACCAAGGATGGTCCGACGGATCGATAGAAGTGATGTCTTGCAGGTTTGACGGATGCTTCACAAAGAACACCAAAGTGTGGCTATCGGGGTGGTATCAATTTCCAGTGAGTTCTATCTGCAAGACAAAACTCCTCTACAGATTTTTGATGTTCTGAGCTTAACAATGAGCGGCGTACAACTTGGCTTTTCACTAGTGCTAATAAAACGTTGTAGAGCTGCCAAAAGTATAGAAATTGAATTCGTATCAAAGGAAATGAAAATGCATACATAAATTTTATCACGTTGCACTTTTGGGACTGAGTATTTCTGCCATCGGACTTGTAGAAAAATTAACCGCAGTAAGCCACTCCAGATATCGCAATTTGACCAATCTCGTGCTTGACCAATCTCGGCCTTGGCCGAAAATATTCGACACATTCTCGGTGTCACAGACGTCATTTTTGACGTACCCAACTTACAAATGTTTCCCAAAAATCAAAGCATGCAAATAACTGTTAACCGTTTTTTTCCTTACGCTCTACTCCCGAGAACAACCGAAAAATAGCATGCACCTCGTTCTCTCTCTGCGCAGCACACTTCGTTTCCTTTCGTTTTGGTTTTCGGTTGAGCCTTTTACGTTGAGCTGTTCGTGAGACGCTCTGTTACGAACCTCGTTCAATGAGAGATACGAATGTCGCTCGCACAGGGAGACTTATTAAAAGACCGATTGACTGAAAAAGTCATCGCAAAAAGTCTTTTCACTAATACAACTATACAATGTATTCCCTTTGACAGTACGTGCGAGTGAAAGGGAGAGCAATATCGCCCAAGCACGTTAACGTTAACACATGCACAAAAGACTTTTTGAAACGTCGTTCAGGAGCAATCGGTCTGTAAGCGAGCCGAGCAAAAGAAAGCCGAAAAAACTGCTCGTCGGCTGAGTGCGAGCAAAATTTCAGTACGAACAATTCAATCGGTTGCTCTCTGATTGTTTGCTCAAAGTCTCAGAGAAAAACAGTTATTTGGGGACCGGACGAATCGGTCAACAGTTATTTGCGAGCTATGCCAAAAATATAACTTTATTTAAGACAACTCTAATGAATTTTATGAACTACCTGCATACTATATTTTTATACCTTATTCTGTTTATATTTAAAAATAAGCTTTTTATAAAACCTCTCAAAAAAATTAGCTAAAAAAATCCGTCGGCAAACCGTCTACCTGGCAGTGTTACCAATTAGCTAGCACTTTAAAATACTAAATTTGTCCAAATTTCGGAGTTAGTTATCGAAATGTTTTGTTAACGAATTATTTTTTCAAAGGTACTTAGTATTGTAGTTAAAAACTTAATTATGGTAAAAAATTTATGGTAAAAGAAGTTGTAGTTATTGAGAAATTAATAACAACAGGCCGCCTTTGCAAAAAGTTGGCATCACTGTCGTGAAAAAATGTCCTATTTTTGCCAGGTAAAACGCTGGCTGTGAAGAAGAAGACATACATGTAAAAAAGTACAACATTTTTGTTTATAATTAATTTAAACCAATAAGCTTTGCTAATTTTCAGGGGTAAACATAGGTCACCAGCGCAAGACACCATATTCTTCCGATTCATTCGCGATAATATCGACATTGCCAAAGGATTTACTCAGGGCGGCCGCATTCTTGTGAAAGGACCTGGCAAATGAGTTAAATCTCCATGGTAGTCCATGTAAAACCGTTTGTAAGGATCTCCTCTGCGTCCTAGCCTCTCGCAGTTTTTGCCTTCGCAAGTACTCTAGAGCAGACGGCATTTTGTTTCGCTTTTAAAATTCTTGCCAACTTATAAATGAAAATAAACCATCGCAGCCGAGGCAAACCGCTGTTCAGGGCTGCAACATGTAGCCTGGCGGGTAATTAAAATTTTGAATTTTTTTCTTTTATTATGTACAATATTCGCTTAAAACATATATTCTTTTAGTAATTTTGCAAGAACAACATAAATGAAGTTTAAAACTTTTCTAGAAATTAGTCAAAATAAGTCAAATAAAATTCGATAATTATTGAATATTCGATATTTAGTGTATGCATCCAGCCCTTGTCGTTTTTCAGTAAATTTTCCGAAAAAAGGAAATCTCCCGAATTCCTGTGACACCAACGGTTTTAGTCGGTTGGTTTCTAAACCAACCGTCCCCAAATCCGTCGACGGTTTATGTGACACCCCTGATCTGAGCTATATGGTAATAGAATTTCAATTTAAGCATTCAATCACCATACTTAGAATAATTTTATGATTTTTATTAAGGGAGAAACAAATTTTAGAAAACATAGTCAGAAAACATAAAATCATACAGCTGCGGTCAAAATAGTTGTAGTGTTGCCGTCTTGTGTTTTTAAAAGTTTGTTGTTGTCACTTTTCTTATCCAATTAGTCGAATAGTACAATTATAATTAATACAATGTTACCACAAGAAGATGAATTACAACAACAAACTTTTAAAAACACAGAGCGGGAACACTACTACTATTTTGACCGCAGCTGTATGCTTTTAAGTTTTTTGACTATGTTTTATAAAATTTGTTTCTCCCTTAATGAAAATCATAAAATTATTCTTAGTATGGGGTTTGAAAGATAAAGAGTGTATCTTTTAAAAAACTTGAATATCGAATCAAACAATGAATCCGTTTGCCTCTGAGAGCTCCGGAAAGTTGGCCAATTTCAGCATTTTTCGAACTTTGAGGTCCTTTTGCTAAGAATCCTTGCGTCGGGGAACTTTTTGGAAATCGCAGTTTAACTTGGGAATTCGTAACGAATCCAAAAATATAGCATCCATCGAGGTACATTTTTGATGCTGCATAGTGTTATTCGACATAATGGTCTTCCATATTAGTCGAGAGGTTTTGTATTAATAACATTAAAGTGGCAACGAAAACTAAAAATCTGCCTGTTTTTCCTTTTAACCATGATAAAACGGTTGTTTAAGCTTTCTAGCAGTAATATCTAGCTGCAAATAAATCCATTTTATGTTAGTTTGGCAGAGGATGAAAAGAAAATTAATAATTGTCCATTGTTAATACATTTTTTTCAGATGGCAAATCGGTTTGGGTTTTTTTGCCCGTCCTTTAAAACTCCAAATAAAAGGCTGACTAAGTTGAGACTAGGTGGCAATCCTACAACAGAAAAATTAGTCTAAAAACAAGAAAGGAAGTTAACTTCGGCCAGCCGAAGTTCATATACCCTTGCAGGTATGCCTACTTAAAATGTTGTTTTTACAATGTCAAAAATCAAACCCCAACTTTCTGCAAAGTTACAGTGGTTTTTCTATTATTTTTTTGATTATTCCTATGGGAGCCATAAGACATAGTGGTCCGATCCGGCTCGTTCCGACATATGTACTACCTGCAGTAGAAAGAAGACTTTTGGGAAGGTTTCATCGCGATAGCTTTAAAACTGAGGGACTACTTCGCATAGAAACGGACAGACGGACATGGCTAGATGAACTCGGCTATTGATGCTGATCAATAATATATATACTTTATGTGGTCGGAATCGTCTCCTTCACTGCGTTGCAAACATCTGACTGAAATTATAATACCCTCTGCAAGGGTATAATGATCGAAAATACTATAAAACAGTCATACTAACAGCGGATGATATAAACAAAATTTCAAACTAAACAAGAAAAGAAGCTAGCTTCGGCCAGCCGAAGCTTATATCGCAAAATTGTTCAATTTCCTATTATTTCTCATTAATTTTTTGATCGTTCCTATGGCAGCTATATGATATAGTATTTCAATTTTAATAAAATTAAAACCGAAATTCGGAAATATTTAAAAAGAGTCATATCCCAGAGTTGAAGAGAATACAATAAAAAACAACGAAGCAATAAATTTGTTTCTATTAATTTGCATTTAATTTTCCGACCGTTCCTATGGCAGCTATATGATATAGTGTCCCGATTTTTTAAAATTTTTATTCGAAATTCATAAATATTTAAAAAATAACATTTCCAAGAGTAGGAGGTAATATTTCAAAAAACACCGAAGCTAGAATTTTTTTACGTTTTTTTTTTATCTTTCCTATGGGAGCTATAAGATATAGTTGTCCGATCCGGTCGGTTCCGACATATATACTACCTGCAATAGAAAGAAGACTTTTGGGAAAGTTTCATCCCGATAGCTCAAAAACTGAGAGAATAGTTTGCGAAGAGACAGACGGATCGACTCGTCTAGTGATGCTGATCAAGAATATAATACTTCATGGGGTCGGAAACATCTCCTTTACTGCGTTGCAAACTTCTGACTGAAATCATAATACCCTCTGCAAGAGTATAATAAAAAAACAATTTCTGCAGAAAAACAAATTTCGCGGTAAAAATTATACCAATGAGCAGGAGACAATTCTGACGCCGTCACTTGGAAACAAAAAAAACAGACTTGGAGGGATTTAGCTAAACGCTATGCCGCCAAGACTACTTTAGATTCCAGTCGCAAAATGATCTTTTGCAAAGCAAATAGCGTCGTGCT